CAGGAAGGATGCTGAGGCCTTTGAGCCTGGGCTGCAGCCCCAGCCTGGCCTGAGGTGCTGCCTGCTCCTTGGCGCCTGCAGGTTGCCTTTTCACAATCTGAAAAGTCCAGAACTCCGAGGTGCATGTGGCCCCACGGGGATTCTGGCTTTCCTTTGACTCGCTGACTGAACGAGGAGGAATGCACAGACGAGAGAACGAAGGCAGGAAGGAGGGCTGAGCGCCATGGCCAGCAGCGGGCAGGTGTTTGCTGTGCCTGGGGCATCCCCCCTGACCCCCCCCCCCTCCACTCCCCCAGGCTGGGGGGCCCAGATCCCAGGTCCCGGGTCCCAGGGGGCGGGGCCTCACCTGCGGGAGGATGTGCTGCATGTGGTGCACCCAGTTGGCCATGGAGTCCACCAGCTCGAACACGGGGAGGCCCTCGAAGTCGGGGTTCTCCTCGAAGGAGTCGCGCCCGGCGCCGCCCTCCTCCTCCTCGTCGCCCTCCTCCTCGTTGAACTGGTAGAAGCCCAGCGGGCTGATGTGCGTGGCGGCCGAGATGCGCGCGATCTGGGCGCGCAGGTAGTTGGCCTCGTTGCCCGGGAAGGGCGGGTAGCTGACCACGGGCGCGTCCAGGAAGCCGGTGAGGAACTTCTTGATCTTGCGCGCCTGCACGATCTGCGCGGGCGTGACGTGCGGCAGGCGCGCCCAGGGCCGGCCCGGCTCGTTGCACACGAAGTACAGGTACTTGTTGGCGCCCGAGCGGCTCTCCTCCCGCGGGATGACGGGCGGCGGCCTCCACTGCAGCTTGGGCAGCACGTCGGCCGCCTTCTCCTCGTCCTCCTCGCCCTCCTCCTCGCCGCCGTGCGCCTCGGCGGTGAGGTCGGCGCCCTCCATCAGCTCCTCCACCTCCTCCTCCTCCACCTCCTCCTCGCCCTCGCGGAACTCCACCTCGGCCACCAGGTAGCTGCGCCGCAGGCCCAGGACCTTGCCCCAGAAGCGGCACGTGTGGATGGGCTGCTGCTCCACCAGCTGCTTCAGCGCCAGGAAGACGCGGAAGCTCTCGTCCGAGCTCAGGCCCACGCCGCCCTGCTCGAAGTAGAAGGCCGACTCCATGAGGTTGGGCACGGCCGTGTCCGCCTGCGGAGGGGAGAGGGCGCAGGGCAGGGGGCTGAAGGCCTGCTCCTCCCTGGCCTGGCGCTTCTGGGGTGGCAGACAGCGGGCCTGCGGGGTGAGCCAGCTGCTCCTGCGGCCCCCCACCCCCCACCCCCGGCGTGTATTTGTTTATTTATTTTAAAAATATAGTTTATTGCCGAAACCGGTTTGGCTCAATGGATAGAGCGTCGGCTTGGGGACTGAAGGGTCCCGGGTTCGATTCCGGTCAAGGGCATGTACCTTGGTTGCGGGCACATCCCCAGTAGGGGGTGTGCAAGAGGCAGCTGATCGATGACTCTCATCGATGTTTCTAACTCTCTATCTCTCTCCCTTCCTCTCTGTACAAAATCAATAAAATATATTAAAAAAAAATAAAAAATAAAAAAATAAAAATATAGTTTATTGATTTTTTTTTTTTTTTTTACAGAGAGGAAGGGAGAGAGAGAGTTAGAAACGTCGATGAGAGAGAGAGTCATCCGTCAGCTGCCTCTTGCACACCCGCTACTGGGGATATGTGCCCGCAACCAAGGTACATGCCCCTGACCAGAATCGAACCCGGGACCCTTCAGTCCGCAGGCCAATGTTCTATCCACTGAGCCAAAGTGGTTTCGGCACCCCCCGACCCTGGCGTTTAGATGCAGGGCGAGTCCTCGGGGAGGATGTCCCTTGATGGAAAAGGCAAAATCACACGAAGAAAAAAAAAAAATCCCTGGTTTCTTCATCCCTCCCCTTGTTCCCGCCTGGAGTGGGATGTGAGAGCTGGCGCTGCAGCAGCTGTACCCAGGCCAGGAGGCAGCCCCGCGTCACACCTGATGGTGCTGGAACGGACAGGCGGAGACTGCCTGGTCCTCACCATCACTGACTGCCTTAACCCTCCCCCTGCCCCCTTCTGGTCATGTTTACTGTTATGGCAACTAAAGGCGCTTTTAAGAGATGCCCGGAGTCACACAGCAAATGAAGGGAAGAGGCTGGTCTTGAACCCGGGAACCAGTGATGTTGGAGGATGGCGGCGATAAATCCTGCCCTCGCTGCCTCCTCTTTCACCGTCTGCTTTGGTGAGAGAGAGAGAGAGAGAGAGAGAGAGAGAGAGAGAGAGAGAGAGAGAGAGAGAGCGAGCGCAGAAAGGGAGCAAGAACAGGAAAGTCAAGGGCTGGGACTAGACTACAGGGAGGTTTCGGTCCAGTTGCCCCTTATCCACTTGGCCACAGGCTGTCCCAATATTTTCTCATTCAGTCAGCCCATAAATCTCTATTAAAGATCCAATGAGCCCTAACCGGTTTGGCTCAGTGGATAGAGCATCGGCCGGCAGACTCAAGAGTCCCAGGTTCGATTCCCTTCAAGGGCATGTGCCTTGGTTGCGGGCACATCCCCAGTGGGGGGTGTGCAGGAGGCAGCTGATCAATATTTCTCTCTCATCGATGTTTCTAACTCTCTATCCCTCACCCTTCGTCTCTGTAAAAAAATCAACAAAATACATATGTATTAAAAAAAATCCAAGGAGTACCATGTCCAAACTAGTGCACGCACTAACATATAGCAGAGAACAAAACGGATGTGACCCTTCCTCCTGAGGTCGGCACAACCTGCCCTTGGCCTTGGCCTTGGCCAGCCTGGCCGAGCAGGGGAACCCACAGCCCAAGTCAGGGAGACAGCATGCTCCCTTGCCAGAATCTGAAATCGGTTGGAGAGAAAGGGGGGAAGGGATAATGATCGCACGGGAGCAGGCCACGCCTGCGCCTGGGGCCTGTGAACCTGTGAGCTTCCGGGGCGTAAGGGGCACGCAGGCGTGATCCGTGGGGACCGTGAGAGGGAGGGACGGCTCTGGGTTGTCAGGATGGGCCCCAGGAAGCCACAAGGGCCTCGATAAGAGAGAGGAGGAGGCAGGAGAGGTTGAGCGGGTGATGGCAGAAGCAGAGGTCAGGGTAAGATCTTTGACGATGTCCCCGGCTGGTTTGGAAGACGAGGAAGGAAGGAAAAGACGGGGAAAAGGGCTTTTCTCCCAGGAGCCTCCATGAGGAAGGCAGCCCTCGCCTTCCCCTTGGTGTCAGCCCAGTGAGACCCAGCCCGCCGCCCTCCAGAGCTGTCAGGGGACACAGGAAGCGTCTGAAGCTGCTAAGTCTGTGGTGACTGGTTACGGATTCCAGCAGCAACAGGGAGCTAACGGGGCCAACGTCTCCGTGCAGCTGGAGGGGAGACACTATGTGTATAAATGGGGAGCGGCTGACACTGCATGGAGGGACGGTGGAGGCCAGTTACAGAAAGAAAAATGCCAAAACCAGTTTGGCTCAGTGGTAGAGCGTCGGTCTGCGGACTGGAAGGTCCCAGGTTCAATTCCGGTCAAGGGCATGTACATTGGTTGCTGGCACATCCCCAGTAGAGGATGCGCAAGAGGCAGCTGGTCGATGTTTCTCTCTCATTGACGTTTCTAGCTCTCTATTTCTCTCCCTTCCTCCTCTCTGTAAAATATCAATAAAATATATTTATAAAAAAGAAAAAAAAAGAAAAAGAAAAGAAAAAGACAGGCCCAAGCCCAGCTGGCATGGCTCAGGGGTTAAGCATCGACCTATGAGGTCCCGGTTCCATTCCTGGTCAAGAGCACATGCCTGGGTAGTGGGCTCCGTCCCCAGGGTGGGGCCTGCAGGAGGCAGCCGATCAATGATTCTCTCTCATCATTGATGTTTTTAACTCTTTTTTTAAAAAAATATGTTTTTATTGATTTTGTACAGAGAGGAATGGAGAGAGATAGAGAGTTAGAAACATCGATGAGAGAGAGTCATTGATCAGCTGCCTCTTGCACACCCTCCACTGGGGATATGCCCGCAAACAAGATATGTGCCCTTGACCGGAATCGAACCCGGGACCCTTCAATCCGCAAGCAGACTCTCTATCCATTGAGCCAAACCGGTTTCAGCTGATGTTTTTAACTCTTGTTCCCACTCCCTTCCTCTCTGAAATAAATAAAAATATATATTTTAAAAATGAGAGAACTCTAGCTCCAAGTTCTAAGGGGCGGACCCTCCCAAGAGATTAAATTTCTTCCTTCTTCTTCTTTTTTAAAAAAAATATATTTTATTGATTTTTGACAGAGAGGAAGGGAGAGGGCTAGAGATAGACAGAGAACTAGAAACATCGATCAGCTGCTTCCTGCACATCCTCTACTGGGGATGTGCCTGAAACCAAGGTACATGCCTTTGACCGGAATCGAACCTGGGACCCTTCAGTCGGCCAACACTCAATTCACTGAGCCAAACCGGTTTTGGCAAGAGATTGAATTTCAATGGGTCGGAGCTTCAAAAGCCACGGAGTTCTAAGGAGGCGGAGCCTCTAGGGGTAAAGCATCCTAAGGAGGCGGGGCCTTAGGGACAGTGTGTGGGGTTGGGTGAGGAGGATGAAAGGTGCAGTCCTAAGAGGGTAAGGCCTCCCCAGGAGAGACTATTGATTTGAAACACAAAACTATATCCTCAAATAAAACCTAACTGTCCTTTGTGCCTAAAACTTGTATTCCCAAGTGCACTCTGCTCACTAGGCTCATTTCTTTCTTTCTTTTTAAAAAATATATTTTATTGATTTTTTACAGAGAGGAAGAGAGAGGGATAGTTAGAAACATCGATGAGAGAGAATCATCATTGATCAGCTGCCTCCTGCACACCCCCTACTGGGGATGTGCCCGCAACCAAGGTACGTGCCCTTGACCGGAATCGAACCCGGGACCCTTCAGTCCACAGGCCAATGTTCTATCCACTGAGCCAAACCGGTTTCGGCACCAGGGCTCATTTCTTTGCCAGATTGTTGTTCCTAATTCTCATTGTCCCACTCTCGCCAAAATCCTAGCATCCAGAAGCCAGCACAGACAAACAGCATCTGCAGATTAGGCAGAGCTTAGCAGGGCTTTGGAGGTCAAGGTCCTGTCTTCCTGGTTCTGTCTCCAGCCCTGCCTCGCTCTTTCCCTCTGAGCCCAAGTCCTTCTTCTACAAATCCCTATCTATCTATCTATCTATCTATCTATCTATCTATCTATCTATCAAAGCCTAACTGACCGTTAGCTATGATGTGCACTGACTGCCGGGGGCCAGACGCCCAGCCTGGTAGGTGAGCTTGCTGCTGGGGACTGGCTGATTGGTACTGGGCTAGACAGGCCGGACATGCCCTGGAGCCCTCCCACAGTCCCTCCCCTGCTGGCCAACCTCTTGCATCCCTCCCTGGCCCTGTTTGTGCACCAGAGAGGTCCCTTGGCCTGGCCTGCACCTTCTTATAATCCGGGACCCCTCAGGGGATCTTGAAGAGCCAGTTTCAGCCTGATCCCCACAGGCTAGGCCAAGGGACCCACCGGTGCAGGAATCCGTGCCCTGGGCCTCTGGTAAGAATATTATAAATAGCAGTTGCCCTGAGAGTTGTTTCAGGGTTGAAAGAAGACCACACTCCCGAAGGTCTTTGCACAGGGCGGGCGTCAGAGGCGTCAGAACGATCAGAGACAGAGAGTCCTCAACACATGTTTCTTCAAAAGTGTGAAAGAATGCTTCGCCCCACGTTTCAGCAGTCACCCCATTCTGGAAACTAGTCGGCGGAAAAGCTCTTAGCGGGTCTCAACTTGCAAAAGGGAAAACCGAGTCCAGGGGAAACCGAGTCCAGGGGCCGGGGGACGCTTCAGGGCTGAGAGGTCCCAGGAGGCAGTGTTTCGCTGCGTGGGAGGGAGGAGGGAGGGGTGGCGGGAGAGGCCAGCCTCAGCCTCCACACCGCAGCTGGGCCCAGCTTTCTCCCGAGCAGAGCTGACCAGCCTGTCCTCTGCTTCCCGCCCTCCCAAGGCGCCCCCTGGCCTCAGGAGAGAGCCTGCACCCCTCAGCCTGGCACTCAAGGCCCCTGTGACAGCACCCCCCCCCTCCACACACACACACACACATACACACACACACACACTGAACACACACACACACACACACACACACACACACACACACTGATCTGAGATCACCTGCGTTTCTGGAGTCCACATGCTCCCTCACGTCCAGGCTTGAGCACGGGCTATGTCTGGGCTGCCCTCACCCTCCACCGCCCCACCCCACGCACTCACCACCTCCTCCTCCATCTCCTGCTCGCCCTCGACGCCGCCGCCCTTGATGAAGAGTGTCTTCTGCTTCTCGGCCATCTCGTAGGTGGGCTGCATCTCGGGGTCGTCCCGCAGTGAGTCCAGCTTGGGGTGGAACCACTCCAGCTGAGTGGTGCGGTTCAGCGACTCCAGGATGGACAAGGGGTCCGCCGGGCGCTGGTTCAGGATCTTGGTCAGCATGTTCACCAGGTGCTCGTACCTGCCCCCGGAGGGAGAGGGGGTTGGGGGTGGGGGTTACTCACTTGCACCCGGCCCTGTGCCTGCCCAGCCCTCTGCCTGGCGCTGGGGACACAGCGGAGGAGACGGGAGTGGAGCTGACTTTCTGGTGATGGAGACAGACATTCACCAAACAGGCAAAGCTCACACTGACAGGGGTGGTCGTGTCTGAGGAGACAGGGAAGCAGGGGATGGGGCTGGGGACGCCAGGGGTGGGGGGTGGTTTGCAGTGGGAGAAAGGGAAAGAATCCCGTGCTGATCTCACTGAGAGAAGAGATGCTGGAGCCAAAACTGGTTTGGCTCAGTGGATGGAGCGTTGGCCTGCGGACTGAAAGGTCCCAGGTTCCATTCCAGTCAAGGGCATGTACTTTGGTTGTGGGCACGTCCCCAGTGGGGGAGGGGTGTGTGTGCAGGAGGCAGCTGATCGATGATTCTCTCTCATCGATGTTTCTAACTCTCTATCCCTCTCTCTTCCTCCCTGTAAAAAGTTAATAATATATATATATTTTTTTTTAAAAAGAGAGAGATGCTGGAATCTTAAGCAAAATGGCGCCCAGCAGTTGCTCAGAAGGATGACACGCCCCTGATTCAAGTGGATGAACTGACAGGGATGTACGACTGGACTGAAGTGAGAAAAAGACTATAACTCGCCGTGACCGAGTGTTAAAGGGGGTCTGTAAGGTCCCCTCAACAGGTGCGGAGAAATTGTTTGATAAAATTCAACACCCATTCATGGTTTTTTAAAAAACTAGGAAACCCAAGAATAGGAGGCAAAATTCAAATAATCCGATAAAGGAGAGCTACAAGTAACCGACGGCACACTCCCAACATAAAGACAAAAGGCTAGAGTGTGCCCTAGCTGGTCTGGCTCAGTGGATAGAGCATCGGCGTGCAGACTGAAGGGACCCAGGTTTGACTCTGGCCAAGAGCACATGCCTGGGTTGTGGGCTGGATCCCTCAGTGTGGGGCGTGAGGAGGCAGCTGATTGAGGGTTCTCTTTCATCATGTGATGTTTCTATGTCTCTAAGATCAATAATAAGTAAATAAATAAAATTTTTAAAAAAGATTATAGTACTATCCCCAGTATGAGGTGTGCAGGAGGCAGCTGATGGATGCTTCTCATTGATGTTTCTCACTCTCTCTCCTCTCTCTTCCTTCCTATAAGAAATATCAATAAAGCCCTGACTTGTTTGGCTCAGTGAATAATGCGTCGGCCTGCGGACTGAAAGGTCCCAGGTTCAATTCCGGTCAAGGGCATGTACCTTGGTTGCGGGCACATCCCCAATGGAGGGTGTGCAAGAGGCAGCTGATCGATGTTTCTCTCTCATCGATGTTTCTAGGTCTCTATCCCTCTCCCTTCCTGTCTGTAAAAAATCAATAAGATTTAGAAGAAAAAAATATCAATAACAAATTTATATATATAAAAGTCTATGGTGCTTTCCACGATGCGACTGGGGATGCCTGCTTTCACTTGTTGAATGCTGCACCGGAGGCTTCAGCCAGGGCACTCGGACGAGAAGAAGAGCATCGCAGAGGAAGCAGCAGGATTGTCGCGGTTCACAGAGGACGTGCAGGGTGATGGGCTGAGGGTGTGCGGTGTGTGGGAGGAGCAGAGGAGGCCAGTGTGGCTGGAGGGAGTGAGGGAGGGGGGGGAAGGCTTGTGGGAGGAGGGGAGGTCGGCGCGGTAACAGTATGGCAATGGTGTCCATTCCCCGTCCATCAGGCAGTGTGTTGGGCATTTGAGAGCAGGGCTGTATTCTCCCCACCATCATCTGAGGAACAGTTATGACCCGTGCGCTCTGGGTAAGGAAACTAGGGTTGGGGAAACGTGAGGCCATGAGGTCTAAGGGGTATTTGGTCGCGCGGCCAGAATCTAAAGCCAGGACCAAACTGGTTTGCCTTCAACGCATCCAAACGCCCGTGGTGTGGGAACCCGTTGGCACGTCCTGGGTGCAGTGGGGCCATCCGTTGGGAAGGGTAAGGAGAGGCCAGCCTCCGGTGCTTTAGCGAGACCTGTCCCTTCTGCAGCCGCATCTCCGCCCACTGCCCCTCTTCCCCCTCGATCTCATCACACCAGCTCCGTTGCCGCTCCTCAGACACAGCAAGCCTTAAGGCCGTGGGGCTCGCTGTGTCCCAAGCGCTTGTCCCCCTCGCCATTCTCCGGTCACGGATCAGACGCACGCGGCTCAGAGGCCTTCCGGGACCCGGGCCATTGACCATGCCCTCCTGATCCCCTCATCCTGCCTCGTGTCCTCACCCTGTTATTCATTATATTTACTCTCCGGCCTCCCAGCAGAATGCGAGCTTCCTGGGGAGGTAACGGGGGTGGGGCTGAGAGATGCACCATGACTGCAGCCCAGTGGCCTGGCTGGCGCCCTCCCCACGCAGGAAAGCTCGGTGAGGAACAGGGCCACGGGACTCCTGGCTCTGGACAGGGGCCCTCACTTCTGTGTGTTTCTCCTCCGTGAAGAGGGGCCGTGGAGGTGCCCATCTCAGTGTGAGAACTAGGGGTCCCTGTGTGCAGGGCCGACTGGCACCATGTCTGCTAACGATTGTCCTTCTTAGCTACTGTCGTCAGTGTTTGGTTTGAGTGAGACGGCTCCAGAGCCATGCCCTGGCTGAGGGGACCCCAGAGCTGAGGGGTGGGGGTCTTGGCGGGGCCTCTCCCCCGCCGGGGCCCCGCCGTCCCCCGCTCACAGGCTGAGGTCGCAGCTGATGCTGGTCTGCAGCAGGTACGCCTTGGCGTTCTGCACGGCCAGCTCCCGGGGCTCCGGCTCCGACACCTCCACGTCGTAGGGCACGAAGCCCAGCTCGGAGGGCGAGAACTGGAGGGAAGGGTCGTCCCTCATGTAGGGCCCGTGCTGCGCCCCGCCGTACGGCTGGAACGGCTGCTCCTCCCGCTGGTAGGCGTGGTACTGGGCCAGGGCGTCGGGCTGCGCGTCCTGGAAGGCGGACTCCAGCTGCTGGAAGAGGCTGCCCTGGCCCTGCTGCAGCTGCTCCAGCATCAGGTTCTCGTCCAGGTACGGCTGGTACGCGAGGCTGCCTGGCGGCTCCTCGTACTGGCCCAGCCCGGCGCCCTGCGGCCAGCCCAGGGCCGCCAGCATCTCCGGGCTCCTCGGGGTCTCCAGCTCCGCCTGCAGCGGCGCCTCCGGGGGCGCCGTGAACGGGACGGCGGGGGGCTCCGGGGGGCTGCCCTGCTGCGCAGGCTGCTCGGGGTCGGACGGCGGGTCCGCCATGGTGCCCGGACGGAGGCTTGCAGGCCGGCCGGCCGGTTGCCCGCCGCCGTGCACTGGCCCGGTAGCTGCCGGTTTCCGGGGGGGAGGGGGGGCCGGGCCGTTACCAGGGGCGGCGCGGGCGGGCGGGGGGGGGGGCCTCCGCGCAGGCGCAGCCCGGGGGGGGGGAGCCCCGCGCACCCCACCCCCGCCGCGGGCCCCATGGCGGAGGTGCCGGGATGAGAGACCACACCCGCGCCCCAGAACCGGGATCTTTATTTTTTTTATTTTTATTTTTTTTTAAAGGCAAAGCACCCCCCCCGCCCTCCCCCTCGGCCCCCGCCCCCCCAGGCCCGTCAGCTGTTCCCCTTGGTCTCGGGGTCCCCGGCTTCGTCGGCGGCCGCGCGGGGCGGGCTGGGGGTCCTGGGCCGGTCCTCTCCGGCGGGGGCGCGGGGCTGGGGGCTCTTCTCCTCCTTGGCGGCGGCGGCCGGGGCTGCCTCCTGGGGACAGAGGGGTTTCTGTGCGGGTGCCCGCCCGCCCCCCGCTTTGGGCCCGGACACCTGCTCCCCGGGCCCCGGCGCCCGCCCTACCTTGGCCAGCGGCCCCTCGAGGCTCGGGTCCAGCAGGGCGGCCTCGGGCAGCCCCGCGTCGTCGTCCACGCTGATGAAGATGGCCGGGGTCTCCCCCTCGGGGTCTCCCTCCCGGAAATCCACGGCTTCGTCCGGCTGCGGAGGGCCCGGCCTGGCCGAGGCCGCGGCCGCGGCGGAAGAGGGGGCTCCCGCGCCCCCGGGCTTCAGCTTCTGCTCCTCCTCCAGCTGCCGCTTTAAGGCCTTCTCCTGGGCCAGCCGCAGGCCCATGAGGTCCTGGGGGGGCCTGGGGGCGGGGGCCGGGGCCGGGGCCAGCGCCAGCGGCTCCAGGTCATCCTGGGGGCGGGAGGGGCACGCAGCGGCTCAGGGGGGGGGGGGCTGGGCTGGCGGCAGGATGGGCCTGGAGTAAGGGCAACTGCCCCCACCCCGCCCCCCTTCCAGCAGGAGCCCCAGAAAGACGCGGTGCCGCCGGGGGGGCCCCTCACCTCCTCCAGAGGCCCCGCGGGGGCTTCCTTGGCCTCCGGCTCCTGTTTGCCGCTGGCCTCCAGGATGGCCATGATGGAGTTGGGGATGTGGGCTTGCTAGGGGAGAGCAGGATGGGGGTGCTGCAGGCCCCTCCGGGGCACCCCAGACCCCGGGCTGGTCCTTGGCCCTCCAGAACCCTTGCCGTTCTGTGGCACTGCAGGGCTCCCTCTGCCCGCTCCCCTCCACCCCCCAGGGCCTGGAGTGCCACCCCACTCCTGGGGTACCTGATGGGGGGGGGGTACCTGATGGGGGGTGAAGGAGCGGACATGGGCCAGCAGGGGCTCCCGGAGCTCCGGGCACTTGTCAAACACGGCGCCCAGCTGCTGGGGGGGCAGCTGCAGGATGACCTGGAAGCTCTGGGGCTTGGTGCGCTGGCAGCACTTGATGAAGCCCTCCCACACCTTGGGGTACTTCCACACCTGGACGGGAGGGAGGAAGGGGGCGTAAGGGAGCATGCCAGTGCCACCCTTGGAACCGGGGGGACCGGCCAACGTGGGGCCTTGCTGGGGCTCAAATCCCTGCCATCTAACAGATTTCCTTTGGCTACACACAGCCCCGACCTCCTCAGAGGGTCAAACTTCCTCCCCCAGCTCCCCAGCAGGGGGGCAGGGCGACGACGTGGGAAGGAGAAACAGGCCCAGGCTGTGCTGTCAGCATCGTCTCAGGCCCAGGCTGAGCTGTGAGCATCGTCTCATTTCATTCCCACAGCAGCCTCCAGGGGGCACCATTCGCCCTGCGAAACAGGAGGCCCGAGAGATGCAGGGACTTTTGTCCAAGGTTCCCCTGGTGACTAGGGCAGAACCACACTTGACCCCGGTCTGTGTGAACCTGCATTTAACCTCTAAGCCGGTTGTGGCAGCGTGGCCGCCTGCGGGCTGGGTCCAGTCTGAGGGCTCGTGGATTCATCACGGTGTTTCTGAAAACCCAGACGTCTAGCTTCCCCTGAATGCATCAGCGCTAGGATGCATCCTGCCTGGGTGCACCGTGGTGGGGGCAAGGGGCAGCCACGCCTCTCCTGGGATGTGCACCCTGAAGTCTGCCTGCTTCCAGCATCCCCCGCCCCCCTCAGGTAGCTACCCCATGGCTGCAGTAGGACCCCTGGACGCCCAGGGCAGGGCGGCGGGGCTGGCCAGTGCAGGTGGAGCTTGCTCTCCTCATCCTGCTCCCTCTAGGGGGGGAGAGGCGGGCAGGCCGGAAAGGCCTGCGTTCGGCCTCAGCCAGCGTTAGCTCCTGCTGCAGCCAGTCCGCTGCCGGGGCCTGCATGTCCAGGGCGGTTGGTTACCTGCTTCATGATGAGGCGGGACAGGATGTTCATGACGAAGCCCCCCAGGCGGGGGTACATGGTCAGGGACTGGATGACGGTCCTCATGAGCAGCATGGGCAGGGGGCTCTGCTCCATCAGCTGCTGCATCACCACGGCCAGCACCTCCGACGTGTACACGTTCCGCTCCGCAAAGCACAGGTTGGTGGCTGGAGGAGGCGGAGAGCGGGCCTGTCCTCTCTGCCCAGCTGCCCCCGGGCGGGCGCACCACCCCCCTCAGCTGTAGCCCCGCTCCTGCCCGTGTGCACACCCAGACCAACTTAGCGTCTGCGAAACGGGAGACGCCCCACCCAGCAGAGGGCCGCTTTCTCGGGGGACTGGGGGCTCGGCCCGAGGGGAAAGACGTGGCCAGCTCCTGCGAGCCCCACACGGGCCACAATGGGGGGACCGGGGCCTTTCTCTGAGGAGACCCTTGGAGAGCCGAGGCAGGAAAGACATGTTGTCAACCGCTGGGAACCCGTTCTGGCTTCATTTAGGCGGCCCGGCACCTCCACCCCCATTATGCAGCAAGGCCGCTCTGAGTCCCATAAGCCCCTGTAGTGGGCAGGAGATGGCCCTCCACCAGCAAGGGACCCCCCAAACCCACCCCTCATCAGGGCACAGGTCATGGGCTGCTTCTGGGGCACCAAGCCTGACTGTGGGGACACGACCACAGAGCAATGAGGGGCGAGAGGAGGAGGGAGCCTGGGCCGGCAATCAGCCTCCGGGCCGGCAAGGGCCCACGGAGGGCTGGGCCAACACAAGCACCCACGAAGGCCCTGGGGCCCGCTCCCTCGGGAGCGGGGTGTGGCAGCCCGACACCGGTGGGATGGGTGGTGCTCCAGTCCGTTGTGCTAATGGGGAGGCCCCAGCCTGAACCCCGTCTTCCCCAAACACCACTGGCCACGTGAGCGTCAACCAGGAAGTCTTTATTGAGCTACAAGAAAGGCTCCAATACTTGAGGGGCTAACGGAGAGCGGGCGGGCCCTGTGAGGACGGGGCAGCTCCCAGGAGGGAAGGGGGAAGATGAAGAATGACAGGTGGACAGGCGGGAGGAGGCTGGGCAGGGGGCAGGGCGGGCATCTGGGCCAAAGGGCAGAGGACAGCGTGAGGAAAGTGCCAGAGAGCGCCTGCCGGGCACGAGGGGGCTGCTCCTCCCCTCACTTCCAGGTCCTTTCTATCGTGTCACAAAGCCTCTTCCCTCTCCTCCACTCAGCTCTGCCCAACTCCTCCCGGGCGTCCCACTCAGCCCTCTGACCCCTCCCTCCACACGCAGGCTGAAGGGTCTTTTGAAATTCAACCTGACCTCGCACCTCCCAGAGGCCCTGGTGATCCAGCCCTGTGGGGGGGTCTCCTCAAGGGTCACAGGCCCTGCCAGTGCGTCTCTTGACCTCCCATTTCTCCTCCTTCCTCTGGGATGGTCACCCCTTCTGCTGCCTCAACCCTGCTTATCTTCCGGTGGCCTCAGCTCAGGTGTCCTCCCCTCCGGGAGGCCCTCCCTGATATCCCTCTCCAGAGGCTGGGCAGCCCCTCTGGGCGCCCTATCCCAGCCTGGCTCTGAGCTGTTACTGGGACCCCTGCAAGGGCAGGGTCGGAGCCGTGTCTATCCCCGCGGGGTCCCTAGCCCAGCCCAGCACAGCCCAGCACAGCGCTGGCTGAACAGAAGTGCTCAGTGAGTGAATCACGGGACTAGACGTGAGGGCAGGTCTTGCTGTAGAGAAACTCACGAGAGAAAGGGGGCATTGCTAATACCATCAGCGACTGGGGGCTCCGATGGTGCACAAAACAGGACTGACTTTGGATCTGGAGCGTCTAGTCAGTGGAGGTACTAGTGCCCGAGCAGAGAAACGTGCTGGGAACTGACCGGACTGGGTGCTGGGACCATCAGCTGGCCATCAGCTGGCCGGAGCGCGGAGGCTGTGGCCTCGCTGACATCTCCAGGGGCTTGGTGCCCACGTGGGAAATCAGGCCCCAAATCCAGATCCACAAAGGGGCTCAGGGTGGCGGGGGCTGTGAGTCCCCTCAAATTGAATACAAAGCCGCGTGTGCTTATCGTCTTTGGTCGGCAAACCGTGGCTCCCGAGCCACATGCGGCTCTTTGGCCCCTTGAGTGTGGCTCTTCCACAAAACAACACGGCTTTGGAGAGTCTATTTTGAAGTGGCTTTAGACGAAGTTTAAAAAATTTGGCTCTCAAAAGAGAGCCTGTTGTACTGTTGATATTTGGCTCTGCTGCCCGAGTTTGCCAACCACTGGTCTTTGGGAACGAATCTGTAACTTTCCTCAGATCATCAAAAGGGGCTGAGAACGTAGCCCACTCCTGGACCCCGGCTGCCAGACCCTTCCACGAGGGGCCGGATCCAGTCCGAGGGCTGTGGAAGTCCGCTTTTGGTTTCACCATGGCATTCCTGAAAAACCCCGATTCTAGCTTCTCTGGGGAGCTGGCCTGCTTCCTGCTCTGGGATGCAGCCTGCCCGGGACCGGGTGCCTCCTCAGGGGTATGGGCTTTGCATGTGATAGGTCCTCCCCCGGCTTAAAGGCGCAGAGCTTGCTGGGGAAGGCCAGACATGAAAGCAAAGTGACAGGAGGGGACCGCCACCGCCTCTGAGGGAGA